CTCCTACGCTCCCTCCGACCCCAGAACCATCTGTATAAATATCAATATAAATATCAAACACATCAACAGTTGGATTACATTTATCAAAAACAAAACCAATTCTATTGGAAGGATGTATTAAATGAATATTAATTTTTTCAAAAACATTCTTTGTAATTAAATAATCTTCATACATTTTCAATTCCATTCGTCCAGTTCTAAATAAAAATTTCTCATAAAAAATTCGTATGAAATTGAGAGAGGAGGCAGCCCAGCCAACACAAAGACGGCCTCGGTAGGCACAGTTCTAAAACATCGGGTTAAAGCTAAACCCCAAGCTCTCTGAATACTGTCTAACTTCGTCCGTAATCTAAGGTATAACAGTTTCTGATAAGAGATACTATTCCTCTCTGAAAGATACTTCGTTGAATGATAAAGCAAAAAATGGTAAAAGTGCATTGGGCGCACATAAAAGACAAGCAGTAACACATAATATTCCTGTCAGTCTTGTTTTAGATGTAAATTAGAGTTCGAGGTATTAGATTTGTTCGCTATATTTATAATAAATATTTATTTAAACATTAATGAATATTTACTGAAACTGATTTAAGTTTGATAAGAATCAGACGAGATGAATCTTATTAGATTTAAATTTATAATTGAATTTTGAGATAACCACAGTTTTTACCCAGATGTTACAGGTTGGACTATGAGTAAGTATCCTCGCCTTCAGTACTAGAGCCATACTGTTTGAAGGATGCCATATGCCACTGTAGTCTGTCTGCCAACGATCCGTCATTCTATTGGTGTCGACAGGAGTGTTTCGGCTCTTTTGTTTTCCAACTAAGCCCTTCTTTCACATCGATTCAGAAGGATAATATTCTACCTAGAAAAGGGAATAGCAATTGTGGGGGGTTATGTACGAAGCGGACCAATTAAGAAAACGCAAGCAACCTTTGATGACAAGTACCTAAGCTCAAAATAACCAACGAAATATTATATTCAGTATCTGGTTTAGAAATGACATCCAACCTGTTTAGTCGTGAAGACATATAGACGTTCATCAGTCCGGACGCTGGAAGTCATCCGTCTTATTAAGCAATGGATCGCAAGCAGAGTTCAAAGATTAACTCAAAGATTGTCTCGGTGTATCACGAGCAAAATGAATGCTGAAACCTCTATACCTCAAACCATACCGAATAACATGTGCGCAGGATCTGAATGAGCCTGACAAAGCTAAACCCATATATTACTATAGGTGGTTGCTGACTATGGTCAGTAATAGACATTTGTACCCATTTCATGTTCATAAATCTTGGTTTTTATTTTTGTAGTCACATGAATTCCTAAAATATGGGGTACCCATTGAAAATCCCAACTTAATTCACGAACTAATGTTTCACGACCCAAAAAACTGGCATTTGGTGCGCAATGTCAACAACAATAGTTGGCTCATTTTTATCCCAGTTACATATACATACAGTGATTAATCTGGAATCTTTGACCAAAGGCCTCAAAGCACAACGCCAACTAGAGGCCAAAACTTCTAGCGGTTGATGCCTCAAGAACCACGCCAGCTAGAGGCCAAAACTCCTAGCGGTTGATACCTCAAGAACCACCAGTGATGTCCTAGAATCTTTGAACGAATTTACAGAACACTAGCATGGAACAGATGGCTTTGCTTTCGAATTAAATGTGGTGATATGCCACATCTCACGCGACTCACTTGTAGGGATTCATGAAATAGTAAACTGTGAGCAAGAAGTGTAACAGCTTTAAATAATATTAAAATCTTGTAGTTTAAATAATTTAAATAGATGAACATTAAGGTATTTGTGAATGGCAATATTTGAAACCAGACTCGTGCGACTCTCGCACGAAGAATGTAATTTATTTTTAAATGTGAGAATATGTTTTCGCTTCTTGTTTGTATGTCGCCATTTTTTTTGAGTGTTAAATAAAAGTTATTGCTGTGTTCCATCATTGGAGTTGCTTCATTTCGCCAAAGAAGTATTACAGTCTTAATTATTTTGGAGGCACCGACCAGATCGAATAATCGTGCGTATTTTTATTTTATTAGTTCATCACTGAACATAATATTAGTGATACCAGATTATTACTTCCTGTTGATATTAAATTGCCTTTTTTTATTAGTTCATCACTGAATGTAACTTCCTGTTGGTATTGAATTGTCTTATTTTATTAGTTCATCACTGAACATAATATTAGTGATATCAGGTTATTACTTCCTGTTAACACTGAACTGCCTTATTTTATCACTTGAATGTAAACTTAGTGATACCATTTTAATGCCGTTTCTACTAGAGCTCAAAGGAAAACAAAAATAGCTGAAGAGCAGATCTTGGAACCGATGAAGGAAGAAAATAAAGCATCCAGAGATGTATTTGAAGAAGTTAAATCACCAGAATTAAACGTGGAAGATGTTCACGAAAATTTGAAAAACGATAAAGAAATTAATATTGAGAATCATTTTGCAATGCAGCGTTATCATCATCTTTCGGCTTTTGATTTAATATCAAAGCCGCTACTAATAGACGAAGAAAACAATTGTCGAAAGCAAATGACAAATGAATATTATCCGAAAGGCACAGATGAATTTAGGAAAGGCTTTGCTGTGAATTATAGCCGATGAACTGGTCCGCCATGGAAGAGATCTAGGCGCCGTCAAGAAAAAAAAAAGAAGACTAATTTGAATACTGTCCATTTTCTTCCTATTTAAATGTGGTGTAAAAATATTTGTTTAAAATTAAAAATTTTCGGCCTGAAAATTTGGAAACGTATGAGAGAAGTTATCTTTTCTCTTTAAAGCAATTGAGCAAGCCGAGCTTATAAACTTTCGAAATTTTACAGAACTTTTCCCTTCGGTAAAAGTCTCTCCGTTGGGGAGAGGTTGTAACAGCTTTAAATAATTATTAAAATCTTGTAGTTTAAATAAATAATTTAAATAGAATGAACATTAAGGTATTTGTGAATGCAATGATTTGAAACCAGACTCGAGTGCCACTCTCGCACTTGCACAAAGAATGTAATTTTATTTTTAAATGTGAGAATATGTTTTCGCTTCTTGTTTGTATGTCGCCATTTTTTTGAGTGTTAAATAAAAGTTATTGCTGTGTTCCATCATTGGATTTGCTTCATTTCGCCAAAGAAGTATTACAGAGGTTATGGTCAGTTTTCAACGTTTCCACATGCGATGTTTTATCTCTGTGATAATTTAAAGCAAAAATTGTAAACCAAAAATCCACATATTGCAGATGAATTCAAGGAAAATAAGAACTGGCAATCAGTGGCGGACAGAGTGCTGCGACATGTCCAAATGTGTACATAAATAAACAAAGAGCACTTTCAGCATCTGTGCTAACTTCTAGGTTATCCACTTCCTAGTTAATCTTGTAATATTACTGCTGGAGGTGGGCAACGTTTTCGTTGTCCAATATATGTACATTAATAACATGTATTATTTTTAAAAATATATTCAGACCCAGCTTGAGTGCAAGAACAACAATATATTATAATATTAGAAGAAACCTTTTAGTTAATGGTACAATTTCATAATTAATAGAAGAGAATTTTGGATATTAAACTCAGTTTCGTAACAAATAGAAGGAAAGGGAAATAACAAGAAGGTTATAATGATTGCTTTGAACGGAGAAGTAGCCCTTTTTGTGTGGAAATACTTTTTAAATAATTGAATACGTGAAAAATATGATGAGGGGATAAGCATTGAAATTAAAGTTTTAATACAAAGTTCGTGAAAAATGGAAGGTTAAAGGACTTTCAGTATAGAATGATTTTAAATTTATACTCGCTTGCACATTCTCACAGTTTCTTCGTAGAACTTCGTTTTTTGAAATACTCTTTAAATCTCTGGTTACGGCTTTTTTAAGTCTTATTCAATGCTGTTAAAATTATGACTTAAGAAGTGAAACTTCACCTAAGAAAACAGGCAGTTGTCCAGTCAGGCGGTGTTTCAGAACAATGATACATTTCTTTGTTAGAAATAGCTTGACGAGAATGCAGTTATGTGGTAAAAGAAACCGTTCACTTGATAAGCGTTTTTAAGCCTAACGCGCTGAATTCTTACCAGGAATGTATACGTTACCCCTCTTTCAAATATGGAATTTCGCATATGTGTTTCTTAGGAAAAAATGCCGTGTAAATTATACCTTTCCAATCAAAAGCGTTCAACAATATGATTTTGCTTAAAATTTTTGAAGCAGTCTTCTGTGGCCCTCGTGAACCTCCTCGAACTTTGGCAGATGATTGCCTTTATTCTTATGGCTGTAAATTTCTGTTGTTTGTGCTTTACATCAAAACGTGATGTGATTTCGAATCTAGGACTGAATCAAAGGAAACGGTTAACTACATTTCCTAAGTACATTTCCATATTTACGGAACTAAGATTAACTACATTTCCATATTTACGGAAAGCAAGTGTAAATGTCATAGTATTAAATGCTGCCAATTATTATCGGTGAGTTTATTGGTATTTGTTAAAAATTTAGTCCTAAAACGTCGTAGACGCACTGCGTATTAACAACTAATTACATTACTTACTTTAGTAACTAAAAGAGATATTATTTGGAGGAAAAAAGGAGAAGTTTGTTACACAATAGTTAGCCAGTGCGAATTCTGTGACATTCAAAATGAGATAGAAAATTTATTAGGATATGAGGATACACGGTAGTTTAGGTCAATTGATTAAAGAAAAGTAATTCCAAGTTTATTTGCCTATGGAAAGGGATGCCTTTGTGGTGAAATAACTAAGAAAAATGGCCCACATGGGGGTATCTACGAAACCTCCCATGCAGCCAGGCTAATGCTAATATTTGTTCCCTGAATTGAGCTGCTAGTATTTAATGACTTTAAAGGTTCGATAGACTGGATGAAAGGTAGAACGTTATTAAGCGTTGTAATTCATTCCGAAAATTGTAAAAATCCTTTTCGTATTCTTGTTTAGAACAATATATATATATATATATATTTTTTTTTCATTTCAGGCATCTGATTGTGTTTGCCAGTGCTTGGTGAAATTAATGGTGAGTCTTGAAACTCCTTCTTTAATCAAACTCAAATTTCAATAACCTAATCAAGCTATAATTAAGCTAGTTAGAATTTCAAACAATGAAATACCAAATCTGAAATTTCCTTCGAACATTTGTTTATATGATAATGTTATCTAATTAATTAATCCTTTTTTTTTTTTTTTTCCAGTATGAGGATTATTCGTACGAAGTAAGTGAACAACATTTCTTTCTTTACTTTTATCTTATATGTTATATTAAATTACATTGATCACGTAAATTACAAACAAAACTTCAGCTACTTTTCTGATTTTGACCGTAATTCAGCAAACAAGCAACCAGAAGACATATTACAATGAAATTCATACTACAGAGGTACAGTGTAGGAGACGGATAAAAGGATGAGAAAAATCTAGTAGCAAGAAAATGAATAAGATGCATACAGTACAAAATGAATAGGAAACGGCTTTATTCATAGAAGTGCTATGGTTAAAGGATAAAAACACTATCTGGTTACAAGGGAGAACAACAAACCAAAGAGATTTAGTAAGGGATACCACCTTCCCTAATTGTAATGGTTGTGTTGCACTGTCTGGCGATATTCAACATCAAATTATCTAACAGTTCTTGGAGTAAAAGTTCCCATTGTCTAAGGTTTGGTTTGGTTTGGTTTGGTTTATTAGATTACTGCAAAGCATTCGAGGGCTATCTGCCTTAAGGGAGGGATGCATTCGTGGAGGACTTTTTAAGGTAAACTGGCTCGTATACACGTTACACATGGAGAAAACCACGAAAACACCCATGCAACCAGCCCGTTCGCGGGATTCGAACCTCGAACCGAACTACCAGTGTTCAGCGACGTTACCGCTCGGCCGCTGGTGGGCCCCATTGTTTAAGAAGCATCTGCTTCAGTTTTGTGGTGTTTTATGTATCGTGCTGCCAGGTGCCTCCCTAATGTGTCACACACACGTTCCATAGGATTTAAATCAGAGCGCGCTGGCCCATTCCATTCTAAGGATATCTTTACTTTCCAGGAGCTCCTCAACAGAATGAGCCCGTGCATTGTCATACACAAAAGCAAAGTCTGAACCAACGGCACCCTAGAAAAGACGTACGTGAGAGGATAATTTCATCTCAGTAACAATCTCCAGTCAGCAAACCTCTGTCGAAAATGTTGAGCTCCGTCTACCTGTTCATCATAATGCCTCCCCATACAAGCACACCAGGACTGCCCCAACAGTCTCTTTCCCTGATGTTAGTGGGATGAAAACGAGTCCCTACCTTTCTCCATATCAGCTGCCCCGACCGAGTTTTGTTTATCAGACTGATATGAATCTTATTGGTAAAGAGGACGTGATTCCATTCATGAGACTTCAGGCTTTGTGCTCTCTACCCTCTATAAACGACGTCGTCGATGTACTGCTGTCAGTACGTACGTTCTACGTACGCTATTACGTAGGTAGTAACCTTTATGTAGGCCCCTGATCAATGTGAAGCTGCTATGAGGTTGCCGTGCGCAACTGTTGAGCAATGTTGCCCGCTGTCTGGCTTCGATCTCATTTCGCCTACAGGGGCGATATATCGGTCATTAGACACCGTTGTTTATCTTGCTCGATCACCGTCAACTCTTCTTGCAGCTATACCTGTCAAATGGAAGCTCGTGAAATAACTCTTTTATCAATTCAAAATCTTGGGCAACAGATGTGAAACTATGCCCCTTCTCAATCTTGCCAATCATTCTACCCGTGTATATAGGCATCCTGATGTTTTCCTGTAGCCATGTTGCATGTACAACCTTATTTTCATTTGCAGAAGAATGCCTGGAAATGCTCCTCTCTTTCCTTTTTTAAAGTTGGCTTTCGCTACGCGCTGTCTCTGCGTTTTGCTTGCAATGACATATCCTCTAACTTAATGGTTTTGGTATTTGCATACGCTTTACTTTTCTACTGAGTTGGCGCTTCATTGTATTGGTTCGCAAAAAACCTTTTCCAGCAATTTCATGATTTATGTTGAAAAATGAATTTGTTGCTTAAGTTTTGCACATTTAGTGTATGTCGCAAACGTTTTCAATTACATGGCTTTAATTCAAAGCATTAGACAGTAAAACCCCCCGGGGGTCGACGTAGAGAACTCTGCGAAGCTACTGGCTAGGATCTGTACCTAGGCAGTCTCGGCCACGGGGGTATAAAATTTATGAACTTGGTGGTTATGAAGGCTCTGGGAAAGGTCACTTATTGGCCGGCCCCGGAATCAGGCACGTCCTAGCTCGGCGTGGTTCTAGTAACCCGGGTGTCTCCCCCGGGGTCGCTGGGTAATGTCCCGCTGCGACGGGCTCGCCCAAGCGACTGGTAGGAGCATTAGACGACCGGTGCTGCCTGGGGCCTGTCCCCAGGTGGTGCGCTGCTCTTCTGGAGGGTAATAGTGGAGGTTGAACCTCCACGACGTGCCCAAAGGCAGAGTAGACCTGTAGTGGGATTAAGTTCCCGGAGCAGGGCAGCCAAAATCCTATAGACAGTAACGTTCCTATAGACATGACGTTTTAAATATCATAATATTCTTGGTCATACATGGTTAAAAATAGAATGGTGGAGTGAGAACAAAAGCCGAATTATAACTGTCAAACGAAGAGCGAACTGAATTAATTAAGCGAACTTAATCTAACTATTCTTGTGATGTTATTCCTTGAAATACTGTAAATGTCCATATGCAGTTGGTATACGGATATGAGAAATTACCTCATTCCCATGCGCATATTTTCATGCGGTGAATATCTGGCATGGGATAATAAAAGGGTTATAAAGGGTTATAGCAAATAAAAGGGTTGAATCTCAAGCTCGCAGTATAGTTGTTAATTTTTGCGTCTTCAAACACATAATGGTCCTCTACAGTTGGCACAACCTAAGAATATGTGAGACAATAATTCGTTACCATTCGTTCCACTCGCTTTTGTGTCTTTCCCCAGTCGTCCTTTAAAGTGGGAGAGGCTATAAGGATTTATTGCATTCCTTCGTACATGCCATAATTATGGAAATGGTTAGTTTACGCAGCTGCCAATTAGAAGATGGTTCCAATCGCGAATTGATCTATAAGGTATTTCTCCCACCTTCTTAGCGTGCCTTCGTGGTGTAGTGTTCTGCATGATGATCGCATATTCCAGAGGTCCGTGGTTCGATTCCCGGCAAAGGCGGTGCTTATTTTTCATGACTTTTGTTTCCAAACATACCTAATGTCTCTACAGTGGAACCCGAACTAAAAGGGTGGGGGATAATGATTATCCACACCCAGGATTTGACGACTGGGTCCCCTAAAACCCCAGCGCCCTTTAAAAGGGGAAGTATATAAGGTATTTCTCCCACCTTCTTAGCGTGCCTTCGTGGTGTAGTGTTCTGCATGATGATCGCATATTCCAGAGGTCCGTGGTTCGATTCCCGGCAAAGGCGGTGCTTATTTTTCATGACGTTTGCTTCCAAACATACCTAATGTCTCTACAGTGGAACCCGAACTAAAAGGGTGGGGGATAATGATTATCCACACCCAGGATTTGACGACTGGGTCCCCTAAAACCCCAGCCGCACTTTAAAAGGGGAAGTATATAAGGTATTTCTCCCGCCTTCTTAGGGAAGTAAAAGTACCTTGAAAATCATAGATATGATAAAGAAATATTTAAATAATTTATAATAATATTATATAAGGACAGCTAGAATTTATTTATTTACTGCTAAATATTTGTTTGCTAGTTATTGTTATGTATTTAGTTTAATTTCCAGACCTTATTAAGGTTATATTAGGTGACCTTTAGTAATAACTTTACTTCAAACGTAAATAGGTCTTTCATGGTGTAGTGGTCTGAGTGCATATTCCAGAGGTCCTTGGCTCGATTCCAGAGAAAGGGGTCGCTGATTTTTAACTTCTTCTTATTTCAAAAATAATCTGATGTCTCCAAAGGTCTGCTTTTATAATTCAAATATCAGTGGGCTTCAGACTACTGGACGGTTAGCACTGAAGCAAAGGAACTTGTTGCCATAGCCTTGAGCTCTCGTTCGAATCCTTGACAAGACATGGATACTTATTTGTAAATGTGTGAAGTGTATAACATCTTTGCTGCGTGAAGGTGCTGAAACTACCGTTGAACCGAAAGTCATCTCGAAGGGCTGATGGTAGGGTAGTGATAGTGATAGTGACGGAGAACGTGGCCACCCCCCCTTTACTATTAAGTTAATTAGCATATAGGGCCACGTCCGCCCTTATACAGAGAGGCCACATGGGAGGCTTGCACAAGGCCCCCAAACCCAACACCTGGATCATCCGGTTGGCAGTTCCGCGAACCAAATGCCACAGGGTAGACACCCGTCCAAAGTGCCCGGGTCCAGTGTGATGGTAGGGTAAGAGGAACAAGATACCTACAGATCAGTCTCCCGGGGGGGGAGTGTTCACAAAAAGGATCAAAACTGAGTAAATAACGGTGAGGCTCAATATGGTAGACATTCTAAAAGCCAATTGACCTGGCTCCTTTTGCATCCGCTGTTGCGAACTTCCACTCAGAATTAATAAACCTGCAACATAATACTTGAAATAAACACAGATGAGCATATTTAAAAGCCCACAGATTCAAACAGGATAAATAAAATTGCTACAAAAATGCATTTACTAATAAAAGTAAAAGGAATACAAAAGTACCTTGAAAATCATAGATATGATAAAGAAATAATTAAATAATTTATAATAATATTATATAAGGACAGCTAGAATTTATTTATTTACTGCTAAATATTTGTTTGCTAGTTATTGTTATGTATTAAGTTTAATTTCCAGACCTTATTAAGGTTATATTAGGTGACCTTTAGTATTAACGTTACTTCAAACGTAAATATGTCTTTGTTGTTAATCATTAAAAAATTCGGAATTATTATTTTAAATGACTAATAATAGACTTTTCCAAATGAAGCGCGTTCTTTCGTTAGTTAAAACATTCGTATTTATTCTTTTGCCTGCAAATATAGTATTTTAGCCTCTCTGCGCCTAAAGAATTCTTTGATTGCTAACACCGAGAGATAAAAATTCGCTTGTTTTATGGTCATAGCAGTCATCATGAACTTTAACATTATCAAATTTGAAAAGTAGCAGTTGATGGATTAAAGTATTAACGGGAAAATTTTAACGGTTAATGGATTTAAATTACTTAAAACATTTCTTTTGGAACAAATGGGTTGATGCGTCTCTCTCCTTACAGTGAAGTAACAAAAGTCATGGGATACCTCCTAATATTTTGTCGATCCTCCTTTTGCCCGGCGAAGAGCAGCAACTCGACGTGGCATGGACTCAACAAGTCGTTGGAAGTCCCCTGCAGGAATATTGAGCCATGCTGCCTCTACAGACGTCCATAATTGTGAAAGTGTTGACGGTGCAGGGTTTTGGGCACGAACTGACCTCTCGATGATGTCCCATAAATGTTCGATGGGATTCATGTCGGGCGATCTAGGTGGCCAGATCATTCGCTGGAATTGTCCAGAATGTTCTTCTAACCAATCGCGAACAATTGTGGCCCGGTGACATGGCGCATTGTCATCCATAAAAATCCCATCGTTGTTTGAGTACGTGACGTCCATGAATGGCTGTAAGTGATCTCCAAGTAGCTGAAGGTATCCATTTCCACTCAATGATCGGTTCAGTTGCACCAGAGGACCGAGTCCATGCCTTGTAAAAACAGCCCAGACCGTTATGGAACCACCACCAGCTTGAACAGTGCCTTGTTGACAACTTGGGTCCATGGCTTCGTGGAGTCTGCGCCACACTCGAATCCTACCATCAGATCTTACCAACTGAAATCGTGACTCATCTGACCAAGCCACGGTTTTCCATTCATTTAGGGACCAACCGATATGTTCACGAGCCCACGAGAGCCGCTGCAGGCGATGTCGTGCTGTCAGTAAAGGCACTCGAGTAGGTCTTCTGCTGGCATAGCCCAAGAAACCAAGAAAGACAAATTTCGCCGCACTGTCCTATCGGACACGTCCCTCGTACGTCCCACATTGATTTCTGCGGTTATTTGACGCAGTGTTGCTTGGTTGTGAACATTGACAATTCTACGCAGATGTCGCTGGTCTCGGTCTTTTTACCTGCAGGTGGTCGGCCACTGCGCTGTCCATGGTGGGATGTTATACCTGAAATTAGATACTCTCGGCCCATTCTTGACACTGTGGATCTCGAAATGTCAAATTCCCTAACGATATCCGAAATGGAATAACCCATGCGTCTAGCTCCAACTACCATTCCGCGTTTAAAGTCTGTTAATTCTCGTCATGCGGCCATAATCACGTCAAAGCCTCTTCACATGAATAACTTGAACACAAATGAAAGCCCTGCCAAAGCACTTCGCATTTATACATTTTTTACGCGATACTACTGCCATCTGTATATTTGCATATTGCTATCCCATGACTTTTGTCACTTCAGTGTATGTAACATTAGGAATGAAAATTTCATAAAGCGTGTTGATTAACTTCTGATTAAATTTTAAGCCGCTGAGGTCTTTCAGATAACTCTAACTGATATTTTCGGAAGCAGCCAAACTTTCTTCTGATCATACTGAATAAATCATATTTAGTTGTTTAATTAAGTGGGTAATGCAAATTACTTATTTACATTCTTTTCAGGAGGAAACTGGAAGCTTCTCAAATGAATACGATCCGTCGAAGGTAAGTATTCTTCTGGCAAATTTGTTAATGGAAAATTTGATTTAGAATTCAATTAATAAACTGAGGTATTCTTTTTCGCTTTGAGTTTGTACTTATCTTCTCCGTCGGACTTTTAAGTAAACTTCCGGTTCGCAATCTGGATCGATCGATTTTATCTAATACGCTGTATGGATGTCAGTTTATGTTTAGGATTTTACTAATGTTTTGCTACTCACTTATTAAAAATCAACAATTTCAACAATAATACTTCTTTTTAGAGCATAATGTCTGTCACGCATGCATATGCACATCAGGTCGTAGCAACTGTTTAATGACTTTAAAATTTAGAAGAATGCGTTAAAATCTGTAGTTCAAAATTCATAGGAGTAATTACTTTATGCTAAAGAACACTATTGTTTAAACGCCGTGTAAATGACTTCTTCATGGTAATTCATGTGATGACAGTCTACATTATGATTAGTTAACTGATTATTTAAATACAAGATAGTTAGTTACATGCCAAAAGGAACAAGCTTTCGTGCAGTTATTTTAAGTCTCGTTATTACGTTGCGTATATTAAAAAATTGTCTCGTTATTACGTTAAACGTGTAAAACCTGAAAGCCTGTTATAACCGACCGGTTTCCTTGGAATCTGAATCCTTTTCGAAGTAAACTAGAACTTGAATTATCTGAATCAATTGGGACCGGACTCCATTCGGATAATCAAAAATTCGGATAACTGGATGTTTCCGAAAAAAGGCTCTACGTAGACTTGTAATTAATTACTGTATGTACTGTATGTTGAAAATGGGAGAAAAAATCTATTTTTAAAGAAAACGTGGTGTTAATTAAGTAAAATGAAAAGGCAACACTTTTACGTACACGTTATATAGCATACTGTACAGTACGTACAAGTGTACAAGTACAAGTAAGTACAAGTGTACTCGTAAGTACAAGTGCTGAAAGTCATTTCTTGCTGAACATCTCTGTCAAAGTAAGCTGTTTCACAGGCACCGTTGTCAGGACTTGTGTTTCTCTTGATTTGCTTTGGAAACATGAATAATCCTGAATAGGAACAGGGAGCTTACTCAAGCTGTGTTAGAGAATGTGTGAAGTAGACAACACAAGCAGGAAGGGTATACGAAACCTTTTATTTTCAATACTTTACATGTACTTCCGAACTTCGGAATACAGAGACCAACCACTTGTGGTCTGAAAGTAAGAATATAAAACTACTAACTAAAACTCTAACTAAAAGCTAACTTTGAATTAGTATACAAATGCCTAGCTCTAAGACTGGCCTTTATTTAAGGGGACTCATACACCTTAAAACCCATAACATTTTCGAATAAGTGACTGTTGCAAGAATTGGGATAACTTATTTATTTTAAAAGCAATTACTACCAACTTTTTACAGCTGGCTACATAATATAGCTGCTTTCTGAAATAGTCATCAGAAAGTTTGTGTTGCCACAAATATTTTTATAATTTAATCCTCTTTGTGACAACATTTTTCGTCATGTTTCCAAATTGCGCGCACAGTTTAAAACATTCTGTTTCATAATTTAATTCCATATTTAATATATAGCTTTTATAACATTCGGAAACTACTGTGAACTTAAAATTCTAAAAATTTCATGTTAAATATTTATTTGATTTTGAGTTCAGCTTATAAAATGTGTTTTATTAAAAAAAATTTAATGTTTTCGTCCATAAAATGTTTCAATATTAAAATATTCATCAGATTGTTGGTTCAGTTAGAAAGTAGTGCCCATATAAAGAATTCCATCAAATTTCAAATATGACCCATTAGCCATTTTTAAAATATCTTGCGCGCAACGTGGAACCATGGCGAAATATTTTGTCACAAAGAGAATTAAATTACAAAAATATTTGTGGCAACACAAACTTTCTGGTTACTCGTTTCCAAAGCAGCTATATTATGTAGTCAGATGTAAAAAGTTGGAAGTAATTGCTTTTAAAATAAATAAAATATCCCAATTCTTGCAACAGTCACATATTCGAAGATCATAACGGGTTTAAGGTGTATGAGTCCCCTTAATAGGGTTTACGTATGTAGTACGCCGAGCTGCTGAAACTATAATACGTTTGTAAATATCAAGAGGGTTAAACCTCTGGCCTTAAAGGCAACCACCAACAGAGTGAAAAACTCGTAAAACTACAGTGGCCAGCGGCTTGCTTCCTAAAACTCCTTCTCTCTCTCTCTTGTCAAAAAGCCACAACTTAAGTACTGGGGCGTTAGCAAGACAATTTGCATAAACAAGTTAAAGAAAGCATTTAATTCTGGCCGAAAGTAGAAAATAAGAAGTAATAGTACAGTTTTAAAATAAAATAAACGTTAGTAAAACTTAGGATCCTTACACCGTGCCTGCAATTTTCTTAACGAGCCGTTACTTGCTTTAAAGGATGAACAACCAAGCTTCTAAGCTAAGCTTTTTCACAAAGAATCAGACCCAAGATTGGGTTTCCCCTAGAACGTTGCTGCAAAATCCACTTGAAAACGACATCTTCTAAATTTTTGTTTGATGCTGCCTTTATTGATTTTCTTGAAAGACTCCCTAGTCGGAGTTCTAATAATTGGAGTTGTACTGTACCATTTTCAAAGATCGTATCAATTCTGCCACTAAGGAGGCTAATTGTTTTGCAAGTGACCAGAAGAGCTTCAGTTACGGGATCTTATGGCCGAGATGGTCTGATCTCAAACTTCTATCTTAATGATCTGCGGTGAAATATGAATTCATCAATAATTTCATTCTTACATTCATGTGAATATGTGAATTACATGTTGTTTACTTACAAAACTTCACATTATTACATCTTAATCTCTAGAAATCTACACTTCCAGAAAGAAGTTAGATCTTACTCTTCCAGAAAAGTTGGGCAATGGAGAAGTCAAACGAACATTTTCGATACCCTGTTGAAGTTATCCGAAAATCTGTGAGCTATGATAAAATTATAAGCAATATTCTTCACATTAATTAATTAGAAATTTCTAATTACATTTTGCTCTGTGAGGCTTAATTTTGCTTCTGATATTATAAAAATTTCACCAAGTAATGGCATAATACAAAAAAGGTTTGGCTAAATAGTTTAGTGCATAGAAAATTATTCACGTGAGTTCTTAAAAATATATGAATTCTCTATTCAGCATGAAGCGTCAACTTTTTCCAGGAGAAGAAACTTTACTTTTAACCTATACGAGATTTGTAAAAGAACAAAATTTCCAAGAATTGTTACATGCCAAATGTTCGAAAATTGTTTGGATGCTGATACCAAAGGTGAGATAATATTTAATGAATTAAAAAGCATTTTGGATATAAGAGCTATGACTTCGAGTAATTTCCTTTCCGTTGCTACTGAAGAAGCTTCGGCAACGGAAAGACGACACCGGGTCTATGTGGTATACATAAAACGAGCTATACCGAATGTATGATCTATGCATTGTGTCATTAATCGAAAACATTTAGTCACCAAAAATCATTAATCGAAAACATTTAGTCACCAAAAATCTTAATCGAAAACATTTAGTCACCAAAAACCTTAATCGAAAACATTTAGTCACCAAAAATCTTAATCGAAAACATTTAGTCACCAAAAATCTTAATCGAAAACATTTAGTCACCAAAAATCTTAGAGAACGCTTCCATGGCTCACTAGATTATGTCATCAGAGCAGTCAATATAATCGAAAATAATGTTTGAATTGAACAACTTAACATTTGTTCAACTTTGTATAGAAAATGACGAATATTATAATTGCTTACGAACACAAAAGTTCGTTAGTTATCTAAAAATGCATGTTTGAATCCATTTTATGGGCCCTTTGATTCAGTGTTGGAATTAATGGAAATTAAAGACAATGAGTTGCGGCTCAGTTAAGTTCTTTCCGAACACGACATAGCTTATACTACTAACTTATTTGCTTGCCAAATTTAGCGAAACCAATCTGAAGCAAAATGGTAATTACTTAAACTTAATGTAAATTAATATCTGAGTTTATTGTTAAAAGTTTTCTGTACGAAGAAAACTTGGGAAGATGAGAATTCTCTTAGATTTATAATCTTACAAAACCGCAAAAACCAGATGAAAATTTGCTTGCTCATTGTCAATGCTTAATATCTCATGCTGACCCCAGCCAAAGATTTGAAGATATTTTTATTGGTTATCCTCGATTGGGTATATGATCCTTTTGAAAACAGACCCGCAAATTCAGATGAATAAATGCTAATAAAGGAAGTTTTTGAATTATCCATAACTCAGGAATTTAAACCAGTGTTTGAAGAAGGATACTAGAAATTCTGCTTACAAAAACAGATACGAATTGTGGTGTCCGCCGATAACATCGCGGCAAAATCATCGCGGGCGAAAACGTCGCAGAGAAAACAACGCAAGGCGAAAACGTCGTGCTACAAAACATCGTGGGAGAAAACATCGCAAAGAGAAAACATCGCAGTTCTAAAACATTGTGGTACAAAATATCGTCGTCGAAAATAAAGCGGTTCAAAAACTTCGCAGTTTAAAACATCATCGTCGTCGAAAATATCGCGGCAAAAAAATGTGTATCAACAAATCAAATCATCGCAGGACGATAACATCGCAGACCTGCTTTTTTCAGGCTTTAATAATTGTAAATGGATATTCCCATAATGATTTGTGAGCGCGAGATGGAAAGAAAGATAATTTTTACTTTCATACTTTTTTATCAACTAATCAATTCTTGCTAAAAAAGTAAGAAGGAAACTTAAGAATAAACTCAAGCAGAAGAAGAAATAATTTTCATTAAGAGTATTAGATTGACAAAAGTGAAGAAAATAATCTCATAATTAGCAATTTTTTATAGATAAGTTCATGCAGTTACATAGCTTCCTTTTTCTAAATATTTTTAGATTATACTTTTAATGAAAAATTACCAGTACAAACTTTATAAAAAATGATTTATTAATGACTTTTGTTAGTTAACTATGTCAGTTTAAAACTATATTAAGTGCTATAAGTTGCCTTAATTTTCTATACTTAAATATCCTTCTTACTTTTTCAGCAAAAATTTATTAGTTAATAAAAAATATGAAAGTAAAGAATATCCTTCTTTCCATCTTGCGCTCACAAATCATTATGGAAATATCCATTTACAATTATTAAAGCCTGTAAAAAGCAGGTCTGCGATGTTGTCCTGCGATGATTTGTTGATACATTATTTTTGCCGCGGTATTTTCGACGACGATGTTTTTAAACTGCGAAATTTTTTAACCGCTTTATTTTGGACGACGATATTTTGTATCACGATGTTTTAGAACTGCGATGTTTTCTCTTTGCGATGTTTTCTCCCACGATGTTTTGTATCACGACGTTTTCGCCTTGCGTTGTTTTCTGAGCGACGTTTTTGTCCGCGATGTTTTTGCCGCGATGTTTTCGGCTGTAACCACGAATTGTACATCCTGCATTATGAGTCACTGTAGGGAAGGTGTCCGTAACTTCCTATCGAGTAGAATGTGGATTTAAGGCGCTTATGAAACATAAAAAAAAAGACTAAAAATTAGTCCTCTTGGAGACTTTAATATTGTTCAAAAACACAGAAGCTAACATAGATAATCTCATATCGTCTCCTCAGTTTCGTACTTCTCCTTGGGAAAAATTAATATGTTTTGTAATTTTAAAAAACATTATAATTTCAATAAATAGTACTATAAAAAATAAAATATTTTATTTATATTTTATTTGTACATCACCATTTATCATTCAAATCACCAAAGTTAAATCTGTAGTTTTCATTTAATGCAGTGTAGAGTTTTCACTTGGGAGTTCATGGTCAAGTTTTTAATATAAGAAGGGGTCTCATAGGCATAGTAATTTTGGGAACCTGTGAAATATATAAATGACATTTAGGAGGACATTTGAAAGATGTCTGTTCAGATTTCACACTAGACGAAAAACTGTGGTAGCATCACTTCTGTGGTAGATTTAGGAATGTCTGTTCAGATTTCGTTCTAGATGAATAACTGTGGTAGCATCACTATGAACAAGCAAATCACGTTTGCTTTAAAATACACGATGCTTTCTTTATTTTCCGGATTGGGCCGTGTCAGCGAGATTGGAGTATTATCAGCAGCTTCCTGGGACTGAACGAGCCATTTCATATAGCTATGGGAAGGTGGATTTTCTTTTCCCGATATGGCAGAAAGATTTGGCAGGTATGTATCCACTGTGCATACCTGCTGGCAGCAGTGGTTACCGGAAGGTACTGTCTTAAGAATGCCGGGGTGTGCCTACATACGTACATGACTCAAAGGAAAGACTACAATAGTATTCGTAATACGTCTGTGACAAATTGCGCTGCATCTGCAGCCCACATTCGAGCTTTTGTTGGCATCAGATTGACACAAAAAACTGTAACAAATCGATTACATCAAGGACAGTTCCGAGTCAGACTCTCTGTGGCGGTCATGCCACTAATTCCAAATTAAATCCAAAGCTCACTGGAGGACGAAGTGACGATTTGTCGTGTTCTCAAATGAGAGCCATTTCTGGCTTAATACCACTAATGGCCGCATGTTGGTTATAAGGAAGCTACATTGAGCGTTTGAAACCAAGCTTTCTGTGACGTAGACACATTGGGGGTAAATCAGGAGTTTACAGTCTCCAGTCATTGGAGGTGAATCAGGAGTTTCCTGCGATTCCTCTTCGTTATCCCGCACACCTTGACACCAAACCTGTTCTTCAGACTGGAGATTGTATTGGTTGAGCTGCCATTCTTAAGCAATATTCCTAAGGTATTTTTTGAAAGGATAACTCTCGTTCCTATACCGCTGCTACCAGCCAAGGTGCTGTAGAGATGCCGACATGCTTTTACCCGTGAGATCACCCAATCATTCTCCCATCGAACACGTATGGAACATGATAGGATGACAAATCCAGCGTCATCCACATCCAGCATGGGCCGTTGCTGATTTGACTGACCAAAAGCCATGGAAGTCCGTCCTACACAACATATACGACCTATACCTATACGACACAAGGCACGCGAGTTTACATGCTTACATTCAACATCGTGTCAACTACATAGTTAATAATGTCCCACCATTCCACATTTGAAATATGTGACTCACATGAAACATTCAACCTGTGATTTGAAATATTAATCAAATAAATGCATTGCCTAGACAAATATTTTCCTTATATTTCATTTCTCAAAACTGATATCGCCTTGGTTATGGGATTTCACTTTTTATGTGTATAAGCTATAGCCAATCGAGGCAAAAATTTCATAAATAAGTGAGTTATGAAACAAAGTGGTTATAATTAACTGAATGTAGCGAAACGTTTACAAGAACATTTAGTATTTTAAATACTTATTTATAAGAAATATTTGAAAGTATTTTAGCTTTCTGGGACTTTATTGTCTTTCGCCCTAAAATTTTCATTTTTCTATAGCTCTATATTGCCCAAAAAGATTAATTTACTCTCTTAAATACTCTTAAATATATTTTAACTAATAAAATCACTGCTTATTATATGTTTGAAATAACGTAAACCATTGCATGGAGTAATTTTGCTGCTTAAGAACTCATTTCATTTTTCAGAATGAAAATATTGAACCTGAACCTTTCAATAAAACGATTATGGTAAGTAGAATTCTCTTTACTTTTCAATGACTTATGTTTTCCATTTCCGAGACGAAAAAATCTATATCTTATCTTGACAGTATTTTAATGAAAATATCGGGAAAGTAGGTAACATGAGAGTGCTTGCGAGTATCTCGGTCAATGTTGCAAATGATTCTTTTGAACTTAAAACATATACTTATTTTTATGTATTGAACACTGTGAGTGTTATATTCTCTTGAGCAGTGAGAGTTAAACTTTTTGCTCACCTTCAGCTTTGTGTTCACTAACTACTCACGTGATCATTTCATTTATTGGGGCGTTTAATGTTGCTGCAATTTTAATAAAGTTTAAAATTAAATACGTGATAAATCTGTTATTTAATCTATTATTTACCTGTCATTTACATAAAATGGGTTAATTTTATTTCATTCCTTTGTCTCTAAAATGCAGACTATTCCCGCTTTAAGAGAAAAATCAGAGTGTTTTTATGAAACACTTAGCAGGACAAATGAGGTAAAGGGCAGAATGAACTATGTCTAATTTATAAAGGAAAATTTTGTTAATTAATGACTCACTAAAAATTCATAGTTAATTAATCAACCGGTTTCTGTGATTTAGCATACAGACAACATTTCACCTTTATGTGTTAGCAGGAATGTGAATTTAAATGCAAAATATTATTTATTTAAAACAATACACCTTAAATCTACTGCTTTAACTAAGATAGTAGTATGAATATTTTAAAGACTTGATGTTATTTATGAGTAGATATTTTAATGATCACAATTCTAACCCTCTTTTACTTTTGAAGAATTTATTTCTTAGTATTTTTCCTTTTCACTTCAACAGATGGTGACATAAGTTTCGCTTTTCTATCAGTTAGTTAAAATACTCATAAAAATGTTTACTGTCCTCTCGTAGACATGTTTCTAATCTCCCTTTTCACTATTGCAGATAAAGAGGAAAGTTCTATTTAACTTTGAAATTACACTTCTGAAAATTTACTCACATTGCGCCGATTTCTGTTGCTTATTATTAGCTTATTTAGCAGCTAATTAAAACATTCAAGTTAAAATAACTATTTCCCTTGAGTAACTATTATTTGATCGTGTGACATATGTATAAATCGGTAGCAATGCTTTTACGATTTCAGTTTATTTTCTTCGAAACGTATTTAAATTATTCACTTTATATTTCCGTTTAGATTTCAGCACATTATATGACTGAAAAAAAGATTTAATTTATTCTTTGAATAAATATTTCTGCAATTGAAGCATTATTTTCTCATTTCATTTCTGGAATTCGTTACTATTTAATATATTGCACTCTAGAAGTTAATGAACTCAAAACATTTTTGCTATAGCCGTAAAAATTTAAAGTTACGGATATTAGAAGAGATTAATAATGCACGGAAACAATATTAGTACTATTAATAAAGAAAACAAGTAATATAAAATTTTTTTTAAAGTCCAATTTTTACTTTAAATTTTTTAAAATAATACAAAAATAAAATAAAAAAAAAAAATAAATAAAGACAAAAGAATTTAATTAAAAAATTTAAATTTTTTTAAAAAAATACAAAAATAAATAATAAATAAATAAATAAAATACAAAAATAAATTTAATTAAAAATTTAAATTTTTAAAATAATACAAAAAATAAAATAAATAAAATAAATAAATAAAAATACAAAATAAAAATTTAATTAAAAATTTTAATATGTTGAAAAAACTGTATTAACATCAAGTGTCATCCACGAAAATTTTAAAAACGTATTTGAACTTAAGTCGATGAATAAAAAGTATTTTATTAAAGATTGAAAATTTGAACAACATATTGGGAGAGTGTGAGCTAATAGTAGGAATTTAAAAAAGTAAGATTCGGCAATGGTTGTCGAACGCTCGATATTTTGTAAAAGACATGTTACAGACAAAACTTTTGCCTGATTTTGCAAGATAAGCGGTAAGGAGCCCGAAATATATATTACAAATTAAAAATGGTATGTATTACAGTGCATTAGTTAGAGTGAGTTACAGTTACATTATTTGCAGTGTTTTCCACTAGCTATAAAATTAAATCCTTTTGGGGATTAAATTTTCAAGATGGCTAGGAACAAGCCTTCTCAAACAGTTGTAATTAGGAGAAAGTTATTTGAGCCAGAAAAAGGGAAGCATAGCGTTGCCACAGCTTATTACCGAACACTATGTAGCATCAACAAGGATCTGAAGTAATATTATGGTTCTTAGATGTTATGGAAGATAAAGCTATATTATACAAAATGTTGTGCAAGAATATCAGAAGCTTATGGAAAATCAAGCTATACAAATAATATGAAGAATATTTTGACAGAAGCAATTCAGCTGCTTGTGCTCGAACTATAAATTTTTGAAACGTAAAAATATATCAACAAAATGGCGCTGTTTGAAAAATGCCCTGTTTTTATATTATAGTTTACCTTGCTATGTATTTATTGTTGAATAAATGCTTCTACTGAAGCGAACTATACAATAAAAAATCTTGGATTACAAGTATGATGATTGAAAACTCAAGAATGGTTCAATGGGATCACAGATTTCAGTTTTATTGGTCTATATTTACCACCTGCTGTTGGCAGCAGTTCTATCTTTTTGCAATGCAGTAATGTTAATGTTTTCTCCTAACACTGAGTAACAACAAATACTTGTATTTTTTAAAATTTTATTCCACAGAAAGGTTACATATGCTAATCGTACTGTTCTTGCGAATATTTGCATCAAAATAAAAAAATCTCTAGTATAACCTACAATTATTGTTTTTCGTTTTGCTGTCAAATCATGCCAGAATTTACTCTCATCTAGTAGACAACAACCGTTAGACACCTGCTATAATTGCTTGACTAGTGTTCTTAACAATAAGTAGGATATTTTCTTTTTCAACAAAATGGAGCAACTTAAAAATCAAATGTATCTCGCTTGTCAGCAACTGACAAATAATATTGAAAGAGAAGCTTTCTAATAAGTAATCTAATACGTTTTATACATGCATTGTCGACTATAAAAAGGAATTCTGTAGTTGTTATGCATATATTTAAAACTTAAAATATTATGTCATGTTTCATTAGCTTAATTTTATTTTCTGTTGCAGCACTGTTTTAGTTATCTGGAAGAAATACAGGCCAAGAGTTAGATGGAAGAGCGTTGACTTTCAGGCAGCAAATTCAACGATGTACAGCTATCTGTTAGTAAATTGTATTTACCACACATTACCATATTTGAAACTTTATGAGAAAAGGTAGTATGTAAGAGCCTGAAGAGGATATGCACGGGTTCTGGTTTTGATATTTATAATGTAATTAGCAGACTATTAAATATGAAAACTTTTCGATGATTGCATAGTTCATTTTATCTATATTTGCAAAAGAATTTTGAAACAGACATTTAATCTCCAACGCTAAGTTTTATTTCGCCAATATTTATTCCTCAATCAAACTTTACATGACTATTATCTAACGTGAATTGAAAATAACTTTATATGATAGTTTAATTTATGTTTAATAATCCACAAATTAATATTTTGTTCGGAAACACAGTGCATGTTAGACTCTCTGTAGTTATCAAGGAAAATATCCAAGTTGTGGAGATTAGGGGTTTAAAACGATTCTTAAGTTAATAAGGATAGGTATGAATATTTCAAGTATCCGTGAATATTAAAAAATAATAATTACAAGAATTATGACAAAATAAAAAAAAACAGAAGCATGATGTTTAAAATTACATTTAATTCTGTTTTCACATGAGTCTTTCTTTTACCTGAATTCAATTTGACATGAATTAAAAATGAATATTTCATTCTCTTTTTACGTATGCCATTTTGAACAAAGTACGTGCATCATTTTGAATGAAAACGACTATTCTCTTTTTACGCATGTTATTTAAGACGAGAGCTATAAATCAATTTCTAAGAATTTTCATTTGCCTAAATTCTAAGAAAAAATTTTTTATTTTTGGCGTTGTAGTAGCCCTTTAATAATGTCTTGCAATGCACATCTAAGGAAAATGAGGAGCACATGGCCTTTAAATATTCAAAAATATCAGTTTTCAGATTTTTACATTTTATGAATTTATAAACATTTCTGAACAAAATACAAAAAACCGCATTGCAAAATTCCCATTATTTCTTGAGTTGTGAAAGTTCATATCGGACAGGATGCTCGTTTAAAGAGAGAAATGTGGTGGTTGTTTACATTTTGGGTTACCCTGTGTACGAGCTCACATTTTCATTATTATTATACACAGAAATATTTTACACTGCCTTTTTTTTAAATTTCCTACACGGGAAGAAGGATGGCAACTACTCAACTTTACTGCTGGTAGTTTGTTTACTTGATATTTCTTATTCCCACGCTGAATCGAACGCTGTTTGAGAGTTTCTATTTGGGTCTTTCATAACAAGTTTGTTTTACTGAGTAAAAGTTTATATAAAGAATTTTGTTTTGAAATTAAATGAATAATGATATCAAAAGAGCTTCAGGTTAAAGACCGAGGGAAAGGAAAAGAAATAATATTTTTGGAAATCAATACCCAAAAAATATTGATAAAGATGCATATTGATAAAGATGATAAAGATAATATTGATAAAGATGTCTCTGGATCAGCAAACAAACTTCTAGATCATCTAGTACTAACTGGAGATGATGAATTTGAAGGGTAAGAATCAGTTAGGAGAATACAGATTGGATAAATTAATTTTTTTTGAGGGGGAAGGAGAATAAGCCTATTTTAAATACAAGAGTTTACAAAATAATTAAATAAATAAATGTAATTATGCATGGAAATGAAGAATTTTCTCAAACTTTCGTGTTAAAAAACTATGTTCGTTTAACATATGACAAAGTATTTTGATTTAGTTTATATAAGAGAAAAATTCATTTTAATGCATTATTTGCAGTGCCTGAGTACATAAAATATAAGTAAATATGATAGCTCTACTCGCTACTGAGCGAAGAACGATCGAGTGATTTCGAGCCATCAAAAGATAGGCTGGATACCTGGAAATTCTTATGATTTTTTATTCACAGAAAAGTAGCTTTTTTATTAATGGTAAAGCCTGAAAAATTAGATTACAGAAAAGCAAATGATGTCGTTATAAATATTTTCCTTACATGTTTTGGGCGATATATCTAGGTTTATTTTAACATAACGGAAATATCATGAACAAAATTGCAAATATAACATTTCGCCAAACCTATTTTGAGCTATATATGTCCTAACCTGGGCATTATTTATCCAGTTTTAAACGAAAAACACCATAAATTGGGTTCACTGCCCATGAACAGCCGAGTATAGGGTAAAACGATGCAAATTTTTTCGCTTACTTACTAAAAGAAGATTTTGGCTTCGGAAGAAAAGATATTCTAGAGCCATGGCGAAAGAGTCGAAGACCTCAAAATGTGCAAAGATTTCATAACCGAATTCTTGGCTATATTTCTGGAATGCATTTGATTTTAGAAAGACGATCGTATTTCTTTCCTTGTAACGCATTTTATCTTACTTCGAATATCGTTCCGAACCATTCATCATTCTCGAATCATTCCCAAATTGAGAGGGACGAGTCGTCATCCTTCTGGGTTGCGAATTAATAGCATTAGAAAATAACTTTCTTTTTATCAATCAACCGCTTTATTTATATACCCCAGAGCTTTTAAAATACCTCTGAGTTCATAACAGGCAGTTATATTTTGCCATCCGTAGATAAGGTGCCAAGAGCAGAGATGAGAATTTTTGGCACGTAAGTGAAGGTTTTTTTTCCCCGAAACGGTAAGCAAGCCCTAAGGCCAAGCAATTTTCTTGGGGAAGTTTATAATTAACTGTGCCACTCGAAATGTATAGATTATGATTCATTTGCAGTTATCTTCGTTCATATATTATACATCTATATATTATTATTTTAAATCTGTTAACACATTAATCTCCGGCAATTTTAGGAAGATCGCTCTTGGAGGTATTACAGTTTTCTGTTTTTGAGATAGATATGGCTGTTTACGAATTTTGATGAAGTAAATAATAATTCATAATGCTGCTTATAACGTATTTCTCCTGCCTTCGTGGTGTGGTGGTCTGCACACTAGGTGCGCATTTCGGAGGTCAGCGGTTTAATTCTCAGCGAAGGCGTTGCTAATTTTTCATTTTTCGTGCTTCCAAAAAATCCTAATATCTCTACAGTGGAGCCCGAATTAAAAGGGTCTTGCATGATGATTCTTCTGACCCAGGATTTGGCGATTGGATCCCCTAAAAACCCAGTCGTCCTTTGGTAGTGGGAGTATATAAGGTATTTCTCCCGCCTCCTTGGCATGCCTTCGTAGTGTGGTGGTCTACACACTGGGCGCGTATTCCAGAAGTCCGCGTTTCGATTCCCGGGGAAGGCGTTGCTTATTTTTCATCTTTCTTGCTTCCAAAAAATCCTAATGACTCTACATGCTTAAAATAAAATTAATGTTCACAGATTTAAAATCCATACTCAGTGAAAGCACTACGATGTTATACAGGATGCGTTTACAGATTGTTTTTATTTCTTATGTGCTTCGTCACTAGGCACTACTCAGAAAGAGAGGGATGTCCCGTGGAGGACTTTTGAAGGTAACTGGCTCGTATCCACGTTACAAAACCACGAAATATACATCCACATGGGCAAAACCACGAAAACGCCCATGCAAGCAACTCCATCTCTGAGACTCAACCAACAGACCGAAATTTTATCATTCGGCCGCTGGTGGATCTTGCATTTACAGTTTAAGACTAGTTTTTCAACATATTCCCAAACCACCTGTCAAATAATAGATGACAACAGAGTTTAATCAACGGCATGGAAGTTTGCTTTTCGTAAAAAAAATCTGATGTACGCACCACATGACGTCCTTGTACGGAATATTAAATTATACGCATTTTTTCTGCATTTCATTTAAACTTATTTCCTCAAATTTCATTAGAGATATATTTCTCATTCATTTAATTCAGTTCTCACTTCGCGGTAAGGCAAAAATACATAAAACCTCAAAATATGTTTATTAAAAATTGAAAGCAATAGAAAAATATAAAACACACCAAATACAGTTAAAACAATTAAGAAAACAATATTCACAATTAAAATTTGGATTTCTACGCAAAACAAGCAATTCGGCTAGTGAGTGAGAACGCAGATTTTTGGCGGTGCACAAAACTGAAAGTTTACCGTAGGTCCCATTTGGGAAAAAGACACTGATGATGCAGAAACTGGCTTAATTCACTATTCTGCTAAGTTTCAAATGTAAACAAAAATTAGGCTTGGACGCATTTAAACAACTTTTAAATTGTTGATAATTCTACAACTATTGCATGCAGAATTAACTAAAGGCATAAAAGCCTTAATCGGACGATAAAAACAACATAATTCAATCATTTTTAAAGCAAAAAGTGCACAATTTACAAACATATAAGAATAAAGAAACTGAGATCACAGAACCGAGTAACCGAGTGAATATATATATATATATATATATATACTTCCAGCAAAAAAGTGTGAAATTCTCAACCTTTCTCCCCACTGATTAGATTTTGCGTAAATTGAAGTTTCATATCAAACGCCATTTTTTTAGTAATTTTAATTAAATTAAGACCGCTATAACCACAGAGTTTATCAATATTCCAAAAGACGAGTTCTGTAAAGAGATTAAAGAAATGTTACGAAGGAGCGAAGTATTGTACAAATATAGAAGGATTGTATATTGAAAGCCAAGAATTAAAAACGTTGTTTTCTTTAACGCACTTTTCTAAAACTTTGTAGACACACTATGTCTAAAGTGCTTTTATTAGTATTTAAAATTTGTTACACATTATTTGCTGATAATGTTTTAGGCAGATTGTTGTTGACAGGTGATACGAGTTGCAAATCCATTTAACATTGAGGTAAATTGCTATCTTGCCAAATTTGCAAGATAGAAACCAAGCTAACAATGATTTTGACAACTAATTTTTGGCGCCAAATTTGGCGAGGAATTTGAAAAGGTAGCCAAAACTTGGCGACCATTAGACGACATTTTGGTCCAGTCCCTGTATTAGGGTAATAAGTGTTGTAACTGAATAAATGTACGTGATTACTATATTAGCTGTAACTGTAATTCGACACTCATATTGCCTTCCAGCAATTTTGGGAAGCAGAACTTACTAGAAAGATCTTGGCGGCCGGGTGAAAACTATATATGGCCGGAGACAGCATCTGCTCGCAGTAGTAATTAGTTATTGTTGTTGCGAGTTGTTAGTTCAGCATGAATTAAGATATCACCTTGCTAAACGTCCGTGGAATGTAATGTATGTGTATCAAATCAAAAGAGAAACACGTTAATGTAAAATCTA